AATATTTTACAAAAATAGTTTCAGCAAGGCATATTCACACATTCTCAAAAGCTAAGAATTTTCTATATATCTTTACCAATTTAACACAATATTGTAGAATATGTTAATGTTTTTAATAAGAAATCAATAAACACAAGTTTAGGAAACATAAGTCTACCCAAAAATGGTTATTAACACATTTTTTAAAACAATTTTCAGCAGATTAAAAACATTGACATTTTGTAAAGGTAGCTGAAAACCTTTCGGAACCAATCATTGCTAATTAGCGGTGAAAATAAATTTACAAGAACAAGGCAAGAATGACAAATATCTAAGGTAGTCAGTTGAACAATAATGTAGCAATTAAATCTTTTTTTAAAGTAATAAAAAAAAATACTAAGTAAGGTTACTACTTACAATTTAAATTAATATATAGTTATCAAATAATTTTACAGTAACATTCAAGTATAAGAAGCAGTGATTCAATATTTAGTCTAAATCATGTATTATTTATTACCAGTAACAAGCAACAAAAATGTTTAGAACTAAATGTTCATTGCGTTTTTCATACGGATAATCTATTTTTGAAGTTCCTCAAAGTGGACCATATCATAACAGTGATCATCAAAACTGTGATCTTCATTAAGTTGATCGGGTTGAATAAGCATCAGTTCCAATACGTAATTCAATAATTCCTAAAGTCTTTGGGCCAAGATCATGACATTACAGAAATTGTGTCATAAATTTCAAATGTCTCAGCTCATCATTTCTCCTTCATTTTGACAATCATCCCTTGTATTTCTTTGGTCAATGCTGATTAAATGTACTGTTTAGCAAATCCACCAGATGTCCTGACATTTTTGGCCTCCTATTTTCAGGGTAGAATCTTGAAAACTGGAGAGAAAAAATAGATAATTCTTCACAGTTTTAAACTAAATATTGTTTTGTTACACAAAGCTCATCTCCTTGGGAAAACCCACATATAGAACGCACAAAAATAACATAATTTCTTTAACTTATTAATTGTTATTCATATATTTTTTTTAAAAATTACAATGCATAATGTTTAATCACTTGACAATGTTGAAGACCAAAGGCATGTGATTCTATGCTAGATAAAAAAATATGTAGCTCATATAAGGAAAATAATATATACATTATACACAAAATATATTCCACAATTACCATATTGAATTGAAACTGAATAAAATCAAAATGGTATATCTAACTGAACACTAGTATACAAGTTAGCCCACTTACGACAAACTGTACAGTTGTAAAATGTACCAAAAATTTGACTTATGTTAATTATGGCAACATAAATGGATCCGACAGTGTATGCCTGTAAAAATAATTGTTTTTAATACCTCTTGTCCATTGGGATGGCTCTCATGCATCAGGTATGAGGTTGTCAATTTCAACTTATATGCAGCTCCATCTGCCACCAGATTTACCCTGATAAATGCAGAGCATGCAGGCTAGAATGTTCTGAAACACACAAAAAAAAAAGGGAAGGCTGATCAACACCGATTGTCTTTTCCATCAACTTTTTCCATTTTACATTAGGGATAAAAATGCAGTTAGCAGCAGGGCCTGCAACTGTTCCACTGCATAAAATAAAGGTCATATTTGTTCCCCAGGTCAACTATCGACCATAGTACTATTTTTTTAATAAGTTTATTCTTCTTGTTTTCTGATTTTTGACTTAAGAGCGGAGGGAGGGCCCTCCCCAGAAAATTATGTTGAAACTTTCAGTTAAATTGTTTAGTTGACATTATAATAATATAATCGAGTGGAATACTGGTACTTGGTTCTTAACCACTAAAGCCAGCACTTTTAATCATGCGTGCGTCTTTTTTTTGAAACTCGGGGAAAAATCGCAAAGTTATCACTCAAATCACTGACACTGCGCTTAGGGTGAATTGGAAGTCTTGCCAGATCTATGACTTTAAAATTAACTACACATTTATCTTACATTTCATATGATAGCCTTACCCATACTGTACAATTAATTCAGTTACGTATTACATTTCTAAGTTTACGGCTATATCCACTCTATCCTATTGACCGGTGAATTATTCTGAGAGAGGTGAGGGGGAAAAGACTTACTTTAGATATGGGCGGATGATTGTGTTGCTGAGTTTGCTTGTTCTTTCTTTAGTCTTTAGATGATAAGCCCTGGGGTAATTGAAGAGTATGGTTTCTTAGAAATTCAATAAGTTCAACTAAAATCAATTGAATTAATATCGAATTACAATTACAGAAAAGACAGTAGCCCAAGAAAAAAAAAAAAGCAACTTTGATCTTGATGTCATGCTAATAATTATAGAACTATATTTAAAATAGAAATAAAAAATACCGTAAAATTATAAACATAAACGTATTCTTACTTTCTTTGAGCCTTACGTCACATTCTTCTTCGATTTCGTCAGCGCTACATAAAAGGATTCAAAATATAGCACATTTCTCGATTGATAATAATGGCTTTAGGATGGCAAACCAACAGGAAGTATCCGTCATAACCGTCACGTGACAAACCTCATGTGACTTGGCGTGTCCACATAGCCATTTGAGACGATGGGTACCCGGGTACTTACAGCCTTTTCGTTTCAAAAATCACTAAATGGTAGTCTTATGTAGAGTAAGAATGCAGGCTAGGTTGATAAGGAAATTTACTGAATCAATTTTCATGTTTTCTTGTCATGTAACACAAACATTCATCAGATTTCTTGGGCAGCTAATAAAGTGACAAAAAATTTATCTATGGGATTTAAAAAAAAATAAAAAAATATTAATAAAATAAAGAAATGATAAGTTGATGCATTTAAAAAAGGCCAAGTTAAAAACTAGTGAGAGTGCAATACAATAAAGAAAGACTTCATTATAACATTACGGTATGTAGTATAGATTTCTGTAATTTAAGTATATTCGTACTTGTACACTCAATAGTAAACTCAATTTAAATCTATAGTTACTACAAATTTAGATTAAACAACTTTCAGTTTTAAAAAAAAATGATGTTTTAAAATATGTATAGGTCAATATAATATTTTTTAGTCCCAAACGTACACACATATAACATGTGAATTACAAACCCAAAATATTAGGGACATAGATAATGCTACACACTAAATAGTATCTTGGACAAGTATACTAATTGCAGTAGCTAAAGTTATTGCCCCTAGAGGCGGGCTGAGAAATTGTTAGTAAATGTTAGGCCACCCACTAAAAATCTCAACATATAAAGAAAAAGTGCAGCTTGTTGTTGACGATCTCCTCCACAGTCATTCTCATGCAAATTAGTATATGCCATCAGTGGCATCACTTGTGTGGGTGGCCCACAGTGATGTAAAATCATAGTTTCAATCCAATCAGACTTCCGCATGGGCCTCCAACATGTCTCCTTTCCCAGGTGACACATTGCTCTAGTTGCATACTCATCTTGAGGCAATCTGCTCTGTTGGCAACCTCTTATTGTAGCAACCTGCTCTGGTGTCAACCTCGTATTGACTCGGTTCTTGCATTTTTAATAATAATTGGTTATGAATACTAATAAAGACATTATTTGAACTTGCACTTTACTATGTTGATGTCTAGCCTGTTGCTTACTTGAGGATATTGGCTTAGCATGAGCATTTAGTTTGTGCTTTGTGTTACTAGGATATAGAGTTTCCTAATATATTTGTAAATCTATATAATAGCCCTTAAATTGTAGAACTATTTGAACTTTTAACAAAATGTATCAACAATATTTTATAAGTTATTGCTTTTATTATATATATTAAAAAAAAAACAGTAATGGGTGGAACTTATTTAATGCTGAGGTAGAAATTATATAAATACATATTTGAGGGATGTTGAACAGTGTGAATTAAAACTGACTTTTTTTTTTTGGTGCAAAAATTTAAAAAGAATTTTTTTAAATTTTGAATTTAAATAAACTAGTTTTAATTTTTCTTTTAAATTTTCTATGGGTTTAATTCTTAATTGCTCAGTTTTTGGCTTATTATTTTTACGTTAACCTTTTAGAAATAATAGTCTTTAAAGACTTTGGAGGAAAATAAATATTTAACGTCATGAGTAGACTTATTTATGTAGGATTAAGAGTTTAAAGTAAATATTCCTATTCAGTGCAGTAAATAATACTTAAAGTTAATTTTAAAAGCAAGTTAAAATCTTTAAAAAAATCGAATTTGCCTCCTACCCTCAAAAATGCCAACCTGGAATGTGTACCCAACCCCCTCCCCTCTTTAGGTTGCTAGTAAGAAAGAGAAAACATAGGTCCACTTTATTTCTATTGTGGGTTGCCCATTGTGTAGAAACCATATCCTCCCAATTTGCACTAATACATTTGTATACCTCTTCATTTTTTTTTAAAAGTTAATTAATTTTTTGATGATTTACGATACTTTAAAATATAAAAATTAATTATAATTTTAACAATAAATGATAATTTATTCTTAAAAATTATTAAATTAAATATTAATATTAAAAAAAAAATACCGGTATGAGAAATTCATTCCTCTTTTATAAGGAACATGAAAATGTTTTTGTATTATTGTATCGATTTACTAATTAGTATAATACCTATAGGTTAATTTTTACAGACCAGTCTTATTGTTTAGATATATTAAAAACAACATTCTATTTATAGACTCACATGAGTGAAGTGGAAAAAAGTAAAATCATCAAGAAAATCAATAAACATAAATTTATAAAATCTTACATTGGTTAGAAGGGTTAATATTTCAATAAAGAATAGTATAAAATTAAAATAGCTCTGTAAATGAAATTGGAAATATTTTAAGCCAAATAATTATTAACTAGTTTTTGTTAGAAAAATTTAAGTGTTGTTGTTTACAGGCAGAATAATCCATCTTACTTCCACATACTGGAAGGGTTAATTTATCTGAAAATCACATTTTCATCTTGAAAAAAACATACTAGTTGACAAATGATAAACAAAATAATATGTGTGAAAGTATGTCATAATGATTAGGTAAATTTTAGTTTTTAAAAATAAATATGTGCACAATTTTCTTAAAGAAACCAATATAATTTTTAAAAAAATAAACAAAATTTAAAACTTTTTCCAAAATTATTATCAACAAAATTTAATAACTTGTTGAATAACACACGGGTAATGTTTTCTTGTTAAGGGCATACAAAAAACTATACAGTTTATCAATACTTTAACATTAATTAAAATTGCAAAAAGTAGTTTTTAATGACATTTATCTTTGGACAATTTTAGATATAAAATTAATGAGTAAAGATTACAATGTATTGATACATTGGAATTATATTGATGGTTTTACTTTTTAAACAAAATCTCTCACTGTACATGCATAAAATTAAGAATAATGAAAATTTTATTTTATAGGGATACAACATTTTATAACTGAAATATTTGTTTATTAAAATTTTTCACGATGTTTTTCATTAAATATTTAAATCATTTTGGTTAAGAAAAGTATGTGTACTTTCTACATTTACAATATACATAGTATGTAAACATACAAAAAGTTGATCAGTGCGTATTATTTCAACATTAACTTCATGTGCAACAATTTCATCATCAATAAGTTCAAAGACATCATTCTTTTCAAGTATTTCAATTTCATGAATTGTTTTTTTAATATTATCACCAATTCTTCTGTATTCATCATTGTCATCAAATTGTACATGCCCTTGATAAGCAATGTGTGTTGCTAATATATATCCTTCATTGATTTCATCGTAGTTAGAAAATTTAAAATAAAAAGTCCATTTTACAATGTGTACATTGAAGCAACCCATAATATACATATAACTTAAAAAAGCATAATTAATAATTATATATATCTTACATATAAGAGGAAAGAGAAAAAGGTAGGAAAATAACATTAAAGAGTGCACAGGACTAAAACTAGGCGATGTTGTGCAACCTGCAGAAGACAGAGACCATTGGAGGAGGATAGTTTACATGCCATCTCAGGCGTCCCAACGGTGCAAGTACTAAGGGACATGATGATGATGATATTTTACATTCAAATAAATCTTAATTTTTTATTAATTTTTGTTTTTATCAATTATAATTGTATAAAGATATGTCATTAGCTTTGAAAAATACTTACATGATTGTAATAAATTGTATAGTGACACTTTGCAGCAGGATAAATTAGATCTGTTTCACAAGTCACAGTTACTTCATGTGGTAAATTTTCATGTTTGCAGGTATGGTTCTTTACTGTTACTGCAAGATCAACATTGTAGTGGGTTTAACAAAAAAAAAAAATTCTTTTATAAATAACTCATGCCGTGAAGAGATTTGTACCAAATTTCACATATAGAAAAAAGCAAAGCCATCTACTAGTATTTTAAACCAGTATAAAATAATTTTAGCATTCAATTGTACTCTTCTGTGCAATATGGTAAGCTTTCCTTGTAATTTTTTATTCTTTACGTAACTATCAGTTAATATATAAGTTTGAATTGTAAATTATATATTCATATTTTATATTTAAAACACATATATATAAAAATATACATATATATACAAATATGAATTAAAGGGACAATAACAAGAATAAATGAAAAGCTCACATGTAAAATGAAAAAGACAGTTGACTTAACCCAAAACAAACATTATAGGCCTATTTATCATAAAAAAGGATTTTAAAAATGTGACAAGAATAAACTAACCTTTAATTGTATCAAAAAGAATTTTAAAAAGTGCTTATCATATTAAAAAATGTTTCCACTATATTCATTACGTTTATAAATGTTGCATGTAGCTTATTTAAGAGACAAAATAGAAAAGGAAATATGTTTATATTTTCTTTAACTTTATTTTGTAACTAATTACAAATAATAAATAAAAAATATTGCCATTGGACTCATGATTGAAATAAATTTTAAAAAAAAATAAAATAAAAATTTAGGCCTTAAATTGTTTTTTAGTTATGTTATTGGTATTTAAGAAGTACCTATTATTATTGGTTTGTAGACTATTGTTATGTTGGAATGTTCCCATCTGACCCAACTTTGTGTCTTGCAGTAAAAGTCTGATGAGGTTTAAATGAACACAATTAAAATACATGTACCAAAGGTTTATCAGTTAATTAATGTAGTAGGGCTCAGAACTAAATTGAACACTATTTCATAATGTTTTGCAATCCATTAGCAGGAACAGGTTGATTTCACCTGCAATAGAATTAAATATTTTCCAAAATTTAATTTTAGCTAATTAAGATATAGTATAAGATATTTATTGTTGTTTATTAAAAATAAATATTTATTTAGTAATATTTTATTAAGCCTACATACTTTTCTGGTAATTGAAATGTTTAATGTACTTACATGCTTGGTCCCTATTAATATTACTGGTTGCTTTGAACTTTAAATGTGGAGATCCATTGCTGGCTATTATGTGACCACTACTATCAAACCAAACTATTGAAACATTAATGAGACTCTTATCAGTTCTCTCACAGGTGCAGGTGACTTCTGTATTTTCTTCAATTATCTCAGGGCAGTTTTTAACTGTAATGCTTGGATATTCTAAAAGGAAATATGTTTTACACAATACTCAAATTTAAAGTTATTTAGAAAAAAAATTTCAATGAAACAATATATTTATTGAAAAGTAAATGTATAGATTCAAGGTTAAATTAATAGTAAGTTGAACAAGATAAAGGCTTGCAATAAAATAAACAGGGCAATTTACAGGGATTTGTCTGTTGGAAACTCACTAAAGTAGCCAATACGAAACAAGAAGCAACAGATAATGTTATTAACAAATTCAAAAACTTATGTGCACGGAAATCTCAATGAAATAATTATCCTGGTAGTTTAATTCTAAACTAGTTCTTTTTTTTATTTGTCCTGTGTTTTAATTTAAGCCTTAACATATATTGTTCCACTAGTTATTTCACATGACTTGAACACAGTCCCTCATACACTATCCTCAAATATATAGCAGCTTCATGAGAAGTTTACCTAAATTAACTGACAGTGAATGTACTGTTGAAAATTGCTTATCATCATTAGTTCCAGTAATATTGGGATACATGGTCACCACTGCTTCATATTGTCCTGGACTTAGATCCTCTCTTGAAATAAAGACTGAACAAACTGTTTTAAATACAGTTTTTTCACTTGATGACATCTCACGGTTATTGTTGATTGATTGGATTGAAATCATATTTTTCTTTTTCTTAAAAAAAAATATTAAAAATATTATTAATGCAAGTTTAGCTTAATTAAATACCCAATTTTATAATTAAATTGAATTCTAAATAAAGGAATGTCTTCAGTATATTGAATTTTTAATTTGTTTTAAGCAGCTAAGTAATATCATCGTTTTTATTTAAAAAAATAAAAAAAAAAAAAAAAAAGGGGAGGGGGGTTGGGGGGGGGGGGGGGGATAATCCTCCTAATTTTTATCATATTTAATAAAAATTCATAAATAAATAAATAGGCTTGTGTACCAATTATAATTTTACATTAAATTCAAACTGACTTATGATTTTTTATTTTTCTACTTATATGAAGCCATTGTTAGAAGATAGGGGCAGGTTGCAGAACTGTGTAATTATCAAAGAATATAAATTACCAAGGAAAATGTTGAAAACTCTCTTTATGCCATTTCAACATACAGGTTATGTTTACAGAACATTAGTTAATTTTTTAAAACTAACATTTTTTTACGGCAGTAAAAGTTAAAGTTTGTAGTGAGTTGGCATAGGTTAGTGAGACTGTACAATATGTTCTTCTATTTTAACGTGGGAAGATGTTTCTTTCTGTCAAATTGTTCTCCCATTTCAAATAAAGTTGCTTTGATGGACTTTTATTTATAGAGTGTAAGGATTCTTATACCATTATAACATAGACTGAATTTTTTATTTTTTTTAAAATGAAATAACATAACTTTTTTTTAAACTTGTTCTTTGTTGTTAAAAAATACTCATACTCATATTTCTTGAATTCTTTTTGATCTCCCTAAAAATGTAAAATAAAGTCATATCTTTTGAGAAATTTCATTACAAGAAATAGACTCTCCTATTTCCTGTCTGTATGATCAAATAAATTCACAAGGAATAAATAGATGAAATACAAAAAAAGTGAAGTGCTTATATAATTATAATACTATGTAACAGTTTCTTTGCTTTCAAGTACTAGATTTTAATAAAACTTCTAATTCTTCAAAAATATTTTCACCAACATTTTTTAAAGTCTTATCTAACTTTGGTTGGAATAATTTTTACTGGTCTTATCTTTGTTATAACATTTATATATAATTATTTATACTTTTTATAAATGAATGACTCTTTTGACTGTTTAGCAACCAACCACTTCTTTCATCAGTAAACCCTATCAAAGTGGCTATTCGGACCCGCCTATCAGAAGTGAGAAGTAACAAAAATCACATTCGAATAGCATTTAGTCTAAACTAAAGTGAAACGGTTATGCATAACCACTATCAGTGACTATCCAGACCCCGAGTCCCTTAAGAGTACTTAAGACTAAATGCTATTCGAATGTCGTTTGCAGTAGTTTATTTTAGTTAGACTGAAGAAGTGAGTTAACAAACATATAGTCAGGGGTGGACTGGGGAGTTCAAGCGGCCCGGGAAAAAAACAAAAAGCGGCCCTATCTTCATGACTTTTATTTTTATTATATCACCGCTCCTAGCGGTCCATTGGGAATCTTCCCGGTGTCCGGGCGGCCCAGTCCACCCCTGCATATAGTCCATTCAATTATCTTTCATTTGATACCAACTTTTTATCTTACAACCCAACAATAATAGTTTGTTTTTTTAATAAACCCAACCTCCAACTCTTCATACCAGGTCCAAAAAGCCGCAGCAGAATCCTATGCCTATACTTTAAAAAAAAACTGTCATTAATTTTAAATATTTTGTCAGTTAAGTTTTAATGGAAAAACAAAGGTTCCATAAAACCATGTATAAGTAGCATGCAAAAGGCACTCTTGTATACTATTATGTTTGCTAGTTAAACTCATACAAAGTTTGCACACACGAACCCACAAAAAAAAAGAGTCATCTGAATTACTTTTTGCCTAACTAACATACTAACATGGCAGTTCTAACTTACCGGCACCCAAAAAAATTAAAATGTTAGCCAAAAGTTATTGTCAGTATTGTGGAGAAAGAAACGTGCGTTGGCACAAGACGAAGCATCAGAGAAATGTGACTCCTCAAAATATAAAAATAAATCCCTCTGCTCTTTAACTATTTAAAATACAATTTAATAGGCCTACCTACCTCCATACAATATGATGATGACTAAGACTTACTTCTGTATGCTTAACGGAAATGTCACACTGTGTCTCATGGTAGATATTTGATGCAATGCATATTATATTCAGAGTGTCATCCAACATTTGAGTGTTGCAAGAAATTGATTTAATTCTTGCTATAAAAGAAAATATTTGATAAAAATACAAGTTCAACAAGCAGAAATTTATTATATTATATTATTATTTATTTAATTTTTTATTTTTTTTGTTTTAAGTAGTACGTAGACGTATTTCTACATAAAAATTAGGTACCAAAAATTAAATGAATCATAACTAAACTAAACCTATATGAAGTATATGGCTATGAATTATTTTTTATAAAAACAGAAATTGAAACTAACTTCTCTTTCTTTTAGGTAAATTTATTATTATACGTTAATTATTAATTGTTTCTTCACGGTTTATTAAAAATATTTTTGTGTGTGTGTAAATCTAGGAGAAAATGAATGTTTTCGTAAGGCTGATATTGACAAACCACTTACCGAAAATTAAAATTTTGCAGATGAATTTCGAGACGTTGAAGTTGTAAACAATAAACCAATTAATTCCATTCTTGTATGTTCTTTTTCTAGTGACGTTGTACATCGTAACTGTAATACTAATTACTTGGCTTGTCTCATTTACAAATAATGTTGTTCTATAGTCGCGGATGTAGTCTGTGCAATTGTTTGGTAATAAACAATTTGTCATTGGAGTTTCATCTTTCTCTATAACAATATGCGTAATTATCTCTCCCGCAGGAATCATTAGATTAAAGGTAAATGTATAATCTTTGCCTTCTTCTGCAGGACGACATGTTGCAGATGAACCCAAGGCTTCTGTTAAATAACAATATTCGATTGTATATATATATATATATATTATATGATATGATATATGTAAGTGTATATATATAAAGCTTGACTTACTTAAATAAGAATTTTTAAAAATGATGGTTTCACGGGCTATGTTGTTTATTAAAAATTATCTTTTTTCGTTGTTCATGTTTTAACACATAATAAATGTAACAAACACCAACATGGACTGAACATGAGTGATCCTGTAATAATTAATGATAATAAAAGAGGTTTTCATTGTTACCAATTTCAAGTGCTTTTCAATCCTTTGCTTCTGATAAAGATAATCGTATTTTAGTTTTTAGTTGTTTTTTTTAAAATGAGCATCGCACTCATTATTGACAGCAAAAGCACACATTTTTTCTTCGTGTGAACTGTCAAAAAATTAGTACAGTTTAGTTCACTGTTGGATTATAGTCTATTTTTATGCGAAAGCATTACGGCAATTTAAGGGGGGAAAAAAAAGAATATAATTGTTAAATAGTTAAATACGAAATAGGAAGTATTCTTTTTTGAGTTCTGAAAAATTAAAAAAAAATTAAAAATGCAGAAAATAAACACATTATGCAGCAAAAAGATTCGTTTATGAATAATGCACTCGTTACCCAGAATTGGGAAAAGCTTCTTCAATCCAACATCGTAATTTATAAATATTTACTTAATTATTAATATTGTAATACTTGTTTTTCTATATAATAAATAAAATATTTCAATTTAACAAAAATATAAAAAGTTTGTCATTTATCAAATTATTCATCAAACATAATAAATTCCAATCCTTTCATTGAACAAAATTAAATTTAAATTTTTGTATACAATCAATATGTAGACTATGCTGTAATCACTTACCATAATTGTGAAACTTCGTCATCAACAATACTACTAAAGATAGTATTGTAGAAACAAGTTTAAAGGAGCGTGGCAGTTCCATCTATATGAGTTCATAATAATATAATATTTTATATCACTATTTCCGTATTTCGACATCGTAAAGCCTCAATTTTTATTTTTTCTAAAGTGTTTTTTTTTTCAATATCATAAATTGAATAACTTTAATTAGGCCTATATATAAAGGAATGTGTATTAATTTTATTTTAGACGTTTATATTGTTAATCAACTTAGTAAAAATATACTCACTAAACTTCGTATTAACAAAGTCTCTTAGATGTATATTTTATTTTAAGTTGGTAGGCCTATGTAATCTAATAACAACTATCATATATATATATATATATATATTTAAGACAATAAAAATGATTTAATATAGTTTTATCAACGCCCAGGATTAAATTTAATTTGTTTGCCATCTTTCAAATTACAACTGATACAAAGAATAATTGCGTTGTTTTAGATAACATTAAAAACAAACTATTTTCGATTCTATAGGTAATACTACTTTAAGCATTTATTATTTCATGGCACTACAGACCAGTAAGTGCTCTCTTCTTCTACATTCTTACATCATAAAATCATATACCACACAATTTTGAAGACGTTTTCAAAACATCTTATCTTTTAAAATCACAATTCAATAACATGCACATTTAACCATACATATTACTAAAACATTTTTCACAACTTGAATATATAATATGTAAAGTTATAAGAGAGAATAGAGAACTGCATTTCTACAATAATTTAATTTAGTTTATTGATCTTGTGTTGGCCTAAATGTACACATTCAAGTTAACCGAAATGTAACGTTCCTTCAAATAATTATTTTTCGTAACGACATATTTCCGTAATTTCTAGTGGAACGACAATGATGATTAAAATTTAATGAGTAATTCACTTAAAAAAGTTTTAACAACATTTAAAACCCATTAGACTTTAGACCTATACTAACCATAAAGTTTGATTTAGGTCAAATAAGTAGACTATGCTCAAGAGCTCTCTTATTTAAATGACAAAATTATCAACTCTCCCATCAGTTTTAATGGATTAGTGTAATTGCTAGAGAACGGGGATGTAAATTAAATAGTGTAAGATATAATAAATACAATTTATTTTTAGACCAACTACAATCGAATCGGAAGGTGGTTTTTTTCTTCATTTTTTAAATTTAAAAAAAAAGATACTATTTTTTTAATCACTATCAAAGCCCATACTACAACAGTGAAATGATTTTTTAAAACAATTTAAACAAAAAAAATGAATTTTATTTACAAAGTCGATCAGAAGCTGTTTGTTAAATTCTGTACTCATATGGTTTTTTTTTTTCTTCTTTTTTTCGCGTGTGGAAAATGGGGGGGGAGAAAGGGGGGGGGGGGGGGGTTGAAGGGTAGGGATATGTAGAGTTTAGAACCAATTTGTTAACTGTCTTTATCCCTTGTCGGAGTGCAAATTTTTACAGCACTTACAGTTAGCATAGGTATAATTTGAGTTGCATAGTATAGAATGTGTAAAAATTATAAGCGTAGATATGCATTATGTAAAAGATAATTAGTGTCTTTGCAAAAGAAGTATACGTCAATACACTTGAAAACATATTTGTATCCCTGAAGTACAATGCAGTTAAATCTGGCAACTTACTGTAGAGGTTTTTAGTTACAGTCACAATCGATTTGGGTAACTTGTTCTAAAGACGTTTAAATAAATACTTAACTATGCCTTTTTACACCTTCTGGAACATAGACCGTCTTCAACAATTCTCCACTTATCACGGTAATGTGCTTTCCTTTCCAATTGCTTCCAGGTGTATTCCATATTTTGCATATTTAAAAAAAAAACAACAGACCAATTGACATCAGATTTTATTTTTAAAGCATGTCAAATCTATTTAGGAACGCACTGTTTTTGCTGAACACAAGAAAAGAAATATAGTCCTTACCTTTATTTATTGTTTTACATCAATCATCTGACACTCATACACTGCACAACACGAATAGAACCATGGGCGCCCGCACGTAGTGGCAAGGTGGGGCACTTGCCCCCCCCCTAGATTGATTGGATAAAAATTTTTTAGACAAAATTTTTATTAAAGTAAAGAGAAAATAAAGAGAAAGTAACTAAGCTGATGTCCTGTCCTTTCGTTCATCATACAAATACGCAACAGTAAATTAAAACTATATTAAAACATTATTAAAAAATTTTTTGCCCCCCCCC